GTCTGACACACAGCCTCCCACACCAGCTTCTTCTTCCCAGCTGCTGCTTCTTCACATCCCAGCGTCTCCTAAAACTTCACCACACAGGCTTCACATATATATATAGTACAGCCCCTCCTCCTGATGTCCCGCCTTCCACTCCCCATAGGATGGAACTTTCCCTCCAAACCCATGACAGACAGGTAACATCAGTGCTGTATGTAACAATTGCCATTTGGCACAATAGAATAATGATGTCACATAAACGTTAAGAGAAAATATATCATTGTTGTACAGCTGATTTTCATCTCAAAGCTTCACTATAGCCACACACTTTTAAAACCATTATGATCTTATCAAACAGTTAATGCAAACGCAATGTTGTATGTATTCTGGGTCAACTCAAGTGGTAGAATGGGGTGTGTGCAACAGAGCTTGGTATACTTAGGGAGGAATTCAAAGTGGTTGAACAAGCAAGCTGGTTTTGCCTGAGAAGCTGTCTGTTGGCCCTTGTCAAGCTATCAAAGACAAAGAAGATGGCATGTACTTCAGTCCATCCATCATCCAGACTTGTATCAGTGCAATGAGGAGCATGGCAAGATGTGTAAGGGCTGATGGTATACCCATGTCTCACACAGAAATAACTGTTTCTAAGGCATGACCACTGACAAAATCCACTGGCCATTCTCAGCACCAATTTGAATGCATTGGGCTCATGCTTCAGATAACTGAGCTTGAAAAGGATGACATTCTCTTTACTATTCTTCAGCATCTGTTTTCATTGCAAAAAGGGTAAAGAATACAATTATGAAAGCTAACACCATTTTTCCCTTTAATGTTATGGTTCGCATTCAATTCTATAACTCACATTTTAAAATGCTATGAAAACCTCCCCTGTATGTGTAACTGGATTTTATTCATTCCATTTTCATTCACATTTAAAAGCATGCAAGGAAAGAATCGGGTACAATAAAAAGCAGTTTCAAATACACTGAGAAGTGGGAAAAATCCTTTGTGACTAAATCAATAAGATAGTGATTTAGGATACATGTTGGACCATTTGGGAAAGGAAGAACAAAGTTTTCTGGTGTATCTAAGGTGTTAATTTCCAGTTTTCAACTACCCAGCTGTTGTCTCAGCCCAAAGCAAACTTCCTAGTTCTGGGCCAAAATGTGAAACAGGATTTTTTTCTTCTTCAACCCTCTTAGCAGCCACAGCAGAAGTGCAGGGAGGGAGTTTACAGCTGCTCTTGAAATTGTACTACTACAACAAAGCAGTTTCATTCCCTAGAATGACAGCTATTGTTTTGGTATGTTTATTAATTTACAGTATTTATATATTTATGAATATGTAGACACTAGCTTTGTTTAAAAATCCCAAAGCAGATTACATGAAGAGCAGCAAGAGTCTATAAAATTCATTTGTGAAATAATAAAGCAATGGTAAAACCATGAACATTGCTTTTATTGAAGATAATTTATTCAGATTTTAGCAATTGACAAAGCTTAATAATCAGGAAAGAGATCAGGAAAATATCTAGACAAATGAATGATGTTTCAGGTGATCACAGAAACAGTCCACACCAACAAACTATCAAATTCCAAAGGCCAGATAACGTCACATAGTAGGCACCAAAGTAGGGAAGGGCTGTTCC